AGAGTATGCATCTCTGTTTGATACATAGAACAGAGCTCCCTCATCGCTTGGCTGAGCTCCACCGTTTCCTTCTTAGTATTGGCCGACACATCGACCAATTCTTTGTAAACGGTGCTTGGGTTTGCGGTAAAGGTCCATTCCGTGGCTTTAAGGACATTGTCCATCTCGTATGGGTCATTGAAGGTGTGGTCCACTTTAACGATAGAAAGCCGTCAAAGGAGCTTGGTTTTAAACTCTGGATGAATTCCCTTCATATAGTCCGTGTCCCTTTCTCTTGAAGACATCTCTTATCTTCAATGAGGTACTCAGTAACCTTGAGGAAGTTGCGATGGTATTCACAGTAGTCATCCCTGTTCTTGGGTAGTTTTCTCTGCATATTTATGCTGAGCGTCCCGCAAGTCCATCCAAGGATATCTTTTATTAGCCATTACTCCTTGGTAGAGTAGTTTGACTTCCAATTTAAAAGTGGTCCATGTTATGTTCGCCGTTTTCCTTCCCTTCCATAGCTGTTCATCTTCCATGCTCATGTATCAGAGCACAATGTTAATTTTCTCATCGTCCGTTGTATGGCCCGTGCTATCGGCCATATCGTCTACGTCCTCGAAGTATCGGTCTAACGAATGACCTTTGCCATGCCAGCTAGGGGTGTTCTTGCTCACCCTGGCGGGTAACACAGTATTAGGCATCTTTTGAGGTAGTGTAGTCGGTATGACAGGAATTGTTATGGGGTTTATGACAGGGGGTATTGGTGGAAACAGATTGGTGTCCTGTAAATTGGCTGGATTCTGAGAGGCTGTGATGAATTCCAAGCTGAGATTGTTTGGTACTCTGTCATCGGTTGGATCTGATATCAAAGATGATTCGGTAGAGAGGGTATTCGAGGAAGGTTGGGATGATCACTGGGAGGGTCCTGATTCTAAGAACGGGTTTTCTTCTTCGTCGAGTACTGGTTTGGTTAATTCAGAGAGGTCAGAAGGGGAGTGGGTATCTTCTGAAGATGTGATGGGAAGAGCGGATAGTTGCTGTTTCCGTTGTACTGTTGGTAGAATCTGGAGAGGAGCAGGATGAAGGGATGACTACAGCTGGGATGGACTGAAGTTCCCCTGCACGTTCATTGTGCGGATTCGCTGTAGACACCACATCCTCACTTACATCGTTGTTCTTTATAATACATATTTTATTTTATTTTTGGAGTACTCATATGATCTCATTAGAACAGAGCCAAAACTCGTCGTGTTGCATCCGATGCAAGTAGGCCAGATGAGCTTCAGTAGGTGTACCTGCTGTGTGTTCCTGGCTACTCCCATATTGCCGCAGCTCAGCCCTGTCTTGCCTAAAAAACCTTACCATTTTCATTCCCGTATCACTGCGGGCTGGGCCTGTCTTGCCTCAAACACCCATACCAGCTTCCTGGCCATGCAGAACATGCTTGCCTGTTCACTCCCATGTTGCTGCTAGCCAGGTCTGTCTTGCATCAGATGCCCATACTGTCTTCCTGGCCAGAATATGCTCCCATCTTGCCGTGGCCTGCGATGCCCTTCCTGGTTACTCCCATATTGCTGCACCTAAGCTCCCTCTTCTGGGCCAGCCAGAACATGCTCCTGTCTTGCCGCGGCTCGTGGTGCTGTTCCTGTTTATTCCCATATTACTGCAGGCCAGGCCTGTCTTGCATCAAATTCCCATATCGTCTTCCTGGCCACTCAGAACATGCTCCCATCTTGTGATCCCCTTCCTGATTACTCCCATATTGCCACAGCTCAGTCTCATCTTACCTAAAAAAACCCATACTGTTTCATTCCCGTTTACTCTTTCTGTTTACTGTACTCCGGTATCGCTGCAGGCCGGGCCCATCTTGAATCAAATTCCCATACCGTCTTCCTGGCCACTCTGAACATGCTCCCATCCTGCGGTGCCCTTCCCAATTACTCCCATATTGCCGCGGCTCAGCCCCGTCTTCTGGGCCAGCCAGAACATGCTCCCATCTTGCTGTGGCTTGTGATGCCTTTCCTGTTTACTCCCGTATTGCCGCAGGCCAGGCCCGTCTTGCATCAAATTCTCATATCATCTTCCTGGCCACTCACATCCTGTGATGCCCTTCCCAGTTACTCCCATATCGCCGCGGCTCAGCCCTGTCTTCTGGGCCAACCAGAACATGCTCCCATCTTGCTGTGGTGTTCCTGTTTACTCCCATATTGCTGCAGGCCAGGCCCGTCTTGCATCAAATTCCCATATCGTCTTCCTGGCCACTTACATCCTGCAATGCCCTTCCCAGTTACTCCCATATTGCTGCAGCTCAGCCCCGACTTCTGGGCCAGCCAGAACATGCTCCCATTTTGCTGTGGCTTGTGATGCCTTTCCTGTTTACTCCCGTATTGCTGCAGGCTAGGCCCGTCTTGCATTAAATTCCCATATCGTCTTCCTGGCCACTTAGAACATGCTCCCATCTTGCGATGCCCTTCCCAGTTACTCCCATATTGCCACAGCTCAGCCCTGTCTTGCCTAAAAAAACCCATACCATTTCATTCCTGTTTACTCCCGTATTGCCGCAGCTTGGGCCTGTCTTACCTCAAATGCCCATACTGTCTTCCTGGCCAGCCAGAGCATGCTCCGGCCTTGCTGGGGCTTGCTACTGTTTCCTTCCCATTGACTCCCGTATCACTGCAGGCCGGGCCCATCTTGAATCAAATTCCCATACCATCTTCCTGGCCACTCAGAACATGCTCCTATCCTGTGATTCCCTTCCCAGGTACTCCCATATTGCCGCAGCTCAGCCCTGTCTTGCCTAAAAACCCCATACCATTTCATTCCCGTTTAGTCCTGTATTGCCGCACCTCGGGCCCGTCTTACCTCAAATGCCCATACGGTCTTCCTGGCCAGCCAGAGCATGCTCCGGCCTTGCTGGGGCTTGCAATGCCGGTCTTGCATAATCCCATATTGCTGTGGGGTGGGCCCATCTTGCCTCAAATTCCCATAGTGTTTGCATTCCCATTAGTATGTATGTATCCATATCTGGCTGGAGTGAAGCTGGCAGTGTCCGACCCGCCGAACTGTGATGCTTGGGCCCCCTTCCACAATTTTGACCAGAAGGCCAACATCGCCCATGACTACACAGGTTGGGCTGACACCAGTGTCATTGACTACAGCTGGGATGGACTGAAGTTCCCCTACATTTTCATTGTGCCGGATTCCTCCTTGCTTACATCATTGTTCCTTATAATACATTTTTTATTTTATTTTTGGGGGTACTCATATGATCTCATTAGAACAGAGCCGAAACTTGTCATGTTGCATCCAATATAAGTAGGCCAGACAGGCTTCAGTAGGTGTACCTACTGCGTGATGTATGTGACATCCTCAAAATATCAGTAACACAATCAGGAACAAAAGTAGTATTGCTCTAGGATATTCTCTAAACCACTGAATACACATGTCAAGGGGACTTTTGGCTACCATTTCAGATTGTGCATCTACTGACATTAAGTATGTATACTTCTGACTGGCATGAATATCAGATGCTCATGTAGTCATTTTGAGGAGGCCTCATGTTACTAGGACTCTCGGGGGAAAAAAGGAAATTGGTAGGCAAATGTGGACACTGCGGTGCTCGAAACTTCGAGGTTTTAAAACCACAAATCCACACTGGATCAGCTTTGACTACTTTCAAGTTCGCAATTTCAATTTGGTCAGGCAACTCTGTCTGATGAGCTCCCTGCCCCCAATTATAATATACTAGATCCATATCCGGAACATGATCAGGAACAAAACATAACATTGACTTCAATCTGTGTATTCCTTTGGGAGCTCCTACTCCTGGTGCCTTCAGCATGGATTAGCCAGAATTTCTCAGTGATGGCCACATGAGCCCACATATTCCTAACATATGCATAGGCTGGGTTGACAAGCCGGGTACCATCATCGTCGATGGTCGGAATATTGAATCTCAGGTAGTCGAAGTTCAGTATCCTGTAGAATAATCCCTCCCCCCTGTTGTAGAATCACGAAACCGGGTTTTTGACACGTTGTTTGGCTGTGCATCCTTGATGATATTCGAACCTCTGTCTTCCCATGAGAAACCTTCTACAGGAGTCACTGAGGAATTGATCCACCAAGGCTCTCCCTCTATTTCGAAGTTGGATAGTAGGTGCTGTGACTTTTGTGGGGCTGCCAGTCAATTTCAACCTTGTTGGTCGATCGAATATCTAAGCCCACAAAACTTAGATCAATGAGGATTTCAATTGGTTCAGCAGTTCTACATGTGTAAATGAACGCACAGGCTGGCATGTTCTAATTCTCGAATGAAACACGGGGAAAATAAAGGCAAGAACAAAAAAATCATCAAACATATTATCATCTAACACCTTGGGGTGGATTCGATCCCCCATTTTACGAACGGCACAAAGTATTGCGACATTGATTAGGGATGATCTACAAATTGATCCACCTAGGCTTATTCCGTAATTTTGGACGTTGGACAGGTATTACAATTTCTGTACACTGCATGTCGATTTTTCAACCCGCTGATCGAATATTTGTGGGATAAATACCTGAGCTTTCGGACTCCAACTTCGTTCATTAGTTCTCCCTATGCATAGAACAGCATTTTATAATGTTACATCAGAGGTAATGCAAGAAAGATACATGGTGAAAAAATAAAATAAATGCCTAACACCGAATGCCTTGGGGAGCATTCAAACCTCCGTCTTCCCACCTCATATAGTGACCAGTCAACGCACTGAGTAGGGATGATCTGCCAATTGATCTAGCAAGGCTTATGTTCTGTATTTGGAGGTTGGATAGATGGTGCAATTTATGTACATGCCTAGCTCTTTTCGACTTTGTCGACCGCTGACCAAATATATCGTGGTGAAGGGAATAAATGCACTCAAGCTCCCGTGTTTGCGCAGTTCTACATATGTAAGAATGCACAGACTGGCGTGTTTTGCTATGATGAAGAGAAAAAAACTTAAAGCAGTGTCAAAAAGCCAATTGTCGAAATACCATGCCTCGGGGAGGATTCAAACCTCCGCCTTCCCGTATAATCGTCGCGAGGCAAGGTGATTCACTGGGCTGGGATAATCTGCCTACTGATCTACCAAGGCTTATTCTATGTATTTTGGGGTCAGGTAGTTGGGGCAATTTTTGGGTGCGAGCTCAATAGGGGAGTTCATGGTAGGGCATATTTTCCCGTTTGTGAATATATATATTCAAGTGATGGGATGAATAAACCCGTCGTTTGTGGAATAAATGCGTGATCACCCCGTTTGAGTCTCAGGATATATTTCTATAGCATTAATTCCACCTGCTAGTCATACACACCTCACAAACACCTTATCTTTGCCATCTAGTCATCTAACAGAGCCCTATATCAGCTAAACAATAATTTGGTTCAGGGAGTATTATTTCTATTGTTTTGATGGGAGGCCGGAACTGTTGCAGGCGATGAGCGGGAGAGGCGGGATGATGGGCGGGATGAGGCGGGATGATGGGTGGGATGATGAGCGGGAGAGGCGGGATGATGAGCGGGAGAGGCGGGATGATGAGCGGGGAGGCGGGATGATGGGCGGGGGAGGCGGGATGATGGACGGGGGAGGCGGGATGATGGGCAGGATGAGGCGGGATGATGGGCGGGATGATGGGCGGGAGAGGCGGGATGATGGGTGGGGGCACGGCAGTCACAGGCAGCTTGCTTACTCAAGCAGAGGAATATATTTTACAAACAAGTGTTTATTCCACAAACGACTTTGAAATTTGTTTGTGGAATATCTTTAGTTTGTAAAAATAATGGTCCCATCACTTGAATATATATATTCACAAACGGGAAATATGCCCTACCGTGAACTCCCCTAATATCTTTTTGAACCGTCTAAGCTACGATTGAATATCTGAGAAAACAAAAATCGAATCAATGTGGACTTCAATTGGTTTGGCAATTCTACATGATGTGGATGAACACACAGACTGGCGTGGTTTAGATTGGAACACAGGGGGTAGAAATAACTAAGGCAAGAACAAAAAGGTACTCAACTCTGTCCCCCATGCCTTGGGGAGGATTCGAACCCCCATCTGCCGATTGATCTACCAAGGCTTATTCTCTGTATTTTGTGGTTGGGTAGGTGGGGTAATTTTTTGGGTGCGAGCTCAATATCTTTTTCAACCGTCTAAGCTACGCTTGAATATCTGAGCAAACAAAACTCAAATGAACCTGGACTTCAATTGGTTTGCAAATTCTACATAGGTATATGTATGAACAAAGAGACTGGCGTGGTTTCGAATGAAACAAAGGGAGTAAAATAACTAAGGCAAGAACAAAAAGGCACTAAATGATGTCAAACTCATGTCTTGGGGAGGATTCGAACCCCCATCTGCCGAACGGCACAAATTATTGCGATATTGATCTGCCGATTGATCTACCAAGGCTTATTCTCTGTATTTTGGGGTCGGCTAGGTGGGGTAATTTTCTGGGTGCGAGCTCAATGTCTTTTTCAACTGTCTAAACTGCGATTGAATATCTGAGCAAACAAAAATCGAATTAACGCGGACTTCGATTTTGCAAATTCTACATAGATATGTGTGTGAACACACAGACTGGCGTGGTTTCGAATGGAACAAAGGGGGTAAAATAACTAAGGCGAAAACAAAAAAGCAAATACGCATCGATCCCATGCCTTGAGAAGGATTCGAACCTCCGTCTTCCCATAGGTACGCAATGTAGCACACAGTCCATGGAGAAGGGATGATCTTCCCATTGATCCACCAAGGCGTATTCTTTACCTTTGGAGGACGGATATGTGCTGTGTTTTTGTGCGAGCTGCCTGTCATTTTTCAACATTTCAACCCTTCTACAATGGAATATCTGAGCAAACATAAATCGAATGAATGTGGACTTCAATTGGTTTGGCAGTTCTACATGATGTAAATGAACGCAGAGATTGGTGTGTTTCGCATGATGGAGGAGAAAACTCAAGACAAGAACAAAAAGGCACCAATTAAACCAATGCCTTGGGGAGGGTTCGAACCTCCGTCTTCCCAGGTTTTACTGTTACAGATGAAACAAAAGCTGAATGGGGATGATCCGCCAGCGATCCACCGAGGCTTATTCCCTATGGCACGTCCAGATGGCTGAAAGCCGGAAGCCAGTGATCTACTAGACTTAGTGGGCCATCAACAATTTTCAACTCCGAGTGACCTATCGGACAACGATCCGGCATCATAGACCGACCTGGATGCTGATGAACCTCTGGCAACCAGATTTTTTTTCAGCGGGAACCACCGGTCAGGGCTTCCGGCTTTCAGCCGTCTGGACGTGTATCTTTAGAGGTTGGATAAGCGCGGTAATTTCTATGTGAGTTGCCTGCCTCATCTTCGGCTACTCAACCATCCGAATGATCAAATGAGCTCTAACTCCCCTTTGCTTCCCAGGTTTTAATTGCTTGAACAAGCGGAGTAATATCTAGAGGCATGGTGCAAAAAGGATTGAAGCGAAGCAAAATTTTGAGGGAAAAAACACGTGCAATGTGGTCGCACGCCTTGGGGAGGATTCGAACCTCCGCCTTCCCTCAATATTCATCGACTGGGTTGGGATGATCTGCCAATTGATCCACCAAGGCTTATTCTCTGTTTTTCGAGGCTGGGTGAGTGCCGTGAATTCTGTGCGAGCTCTAGACCTGACTTTGCTTGAGCGACTTAGCCATCAGAATTAATGAATCAAATTACCGCAGACTCTTTCCTAGTGCTAGTCAATCATGTTCTTCAATGGATAGAACCGCACGAAGTCAATGTAAACCTGATGCAGAAAAACCTGCACCAGGTGAGGAAAAAGACAGTCGTTCTTGCCGGCTGTTCATGCCTCGGGAGAGACTCAAACCCTCGTCTTCCCATGATCTCATAGACATATACCCTCGATCACGGAGAAGGGATGATCAACCAACGATCCACCGAGGCGTTCCTGCTCTTAATTGAGGGTAGGTGTTGTAAGTGCGAAAGGAGGTTGTAAATAGACCGCCCCGAATAAAATATCAATCAGTCGGTGTGAGTCTGAGTTCAAGTGAAGTTTATCTGGGTCGCGCGCAGAAAAAGATGTGTATTGTACAAAAAGGTGGTTACTGTACAGCGAGAAAATAACGCCAGGCGTAAGCTATGAAAAAAGACATTCCGCCGCGCCTTATGCCTCGAGAGGGATTCGAATTCCCATCTTCCCGCTGTAGCGCACGTGCGCACACGTGCTAGCTAAAGTAACAGGGACGATACACCGAGGCTTTCCTACACCATCTATGCCACAGATATGTGTTGCGCTTAGTATACGTTAATACCCCACCATAATTTGAACCGAGTCGGCAACTCCCGGCCTCCCAACCAAATCGGGTGTCTCCTTTTCGGCTAGTTCTTTCTCCCACCTACTGAGACTGACGCTGTGCTCGTTCATCCCCGACGACGGACGACGACGCCAATGATGTCGTCGATATTCAGCCCCGGCCCTGTGCCACTTGCCTTTCCGCGCCCCGCCAGGGCCCGCCTCGCCCGCAAAGTCGCCGACCACGTCCCGTTTTCGGGATAATACCACCAATAACAACACCACGAATGTGAATGGTTCGCCCACGCCCCGGTCGCGCACCAACTCGCTCTTTGACTCCCCTGTTGGAGGTGCATTCTTATTATTGAATTCTACCAATTTAATTCATTCATCATGCCTATATGCTCGCACCGCAGCACCCCAAGCATCGACGACCTCAAGCCCAACGCGCACCCGTACCCCATCCACACAACATCTACCGCCCTACTCACGCGCTCCAACTCCACCAGCTCAGAGCAGCACAACGGGGGCCGGCACCACTACGTGCCGTACCGCGAGCGCACGAGCAGCAACGCCAGCGCCAGCGGGGACGCCGATGGCGGGGGCAGCGGTGGGAAGGCGGCGGGTGAGCGGCGGGGCGAGTACCGCAGGCACCGCTACTCGCACCGCCTGAGCTCGAGCGAGGTGATAGCGTATGGGGGTGCGGGCTCTGCCGGTGCCGCCCGGGTTGGGTGCGTTTCCTCTATCCTTACAACCCCTGCCCCTAATTTCATTTGACGCGACAGACGCCACACCAGACAATAAAGCAATAAACAACGGCACCTCGCTCAAGCGCTGGACGTCCGCGCTGCTCTCACCGCGACCTCGGCGGCGAGGTCGGCGCGTGGGTGGCCGTTCATTTGTACGCATAGGCGAGGAGAAGCTGGGAAGGCTTGGGTGAGTGGTTCTTCCTCCGTTGCTTTCTTTTATTTTCACCTCCTTTCATCTCTCCTCGCCCTTCGATCCCCCCATTTAACCCTTCACCCTGCCTCGTTCTCCCCGTTTCCTTGCGTTTCCTTCTTTCCGCTGCCCTTCGGTATCGGTATCCATTGGGCCTGAATTTCGGGCGCTCTTGTTCGTCCACACGCGACTTCCAACGCTGCCCCAGGCGAGTTCGGCGTGCGTCGCAGTGTCATTTTTTCTTCGACGTGCCTCACGACATCTTTAATGCGCTGCCCTCGCACTAGCTATTGTGAGGCGCCTGCGCTCTCTCGATAGTCTCCTGTGCCCCGATCGAGTTCCGTGCTGCCCCAGACACCTTCGCCAACATGTGTCCCAAGACTTATACATTTATTTGTGGGTTGGACAAATGGAATGAATTTTGGGGCGCAATAATTCCTTTGTTTCCTCTGAAAAATAATGCGGGCAGCCAGCATTGACTGGAGGTATTTTTTTTTTCGACCTCTACGAAGCAACAAAATATGTCGCCCGTCCACTCTGTAAATTTCAGGGTGATCCGTGAGGAAAAAGATGCACGATGATGACCGTCATGCCTTGGGGAGGACTCAAACCTCCGTCTTCCCATGAGAAACTATCGGGAGAGTCACTGAGTGTCAATTGATCTACCAAGGCTTATTCTCTATATTTCGAGGATAGATAAACGCATCAATTTCTGTGCAGTGGCCTGTCTCCTTCAACCTTGTCACTAACGGTACAGTATGGAGGAAGTATGAGCTTCAGATTCATTTTTTTTCTGAGTCCTTGGTCGACTGCACACAAAACGGCTCGCACCCTGAACGTGTATAGTACAGGCCAGAAGGAAGAAAGCAAAAAAAAAACAAGACCAGTATCTGTGGCAAATGCCTTGGGGTGATTCGAACCTCCGTCTTCCCAAGTGTTATTTTGAGGCTGGATAAGTACGAGAAGTCTCTGAATGCGGCGAGTCCCTTTTCAACCTTCTATGCTACGATTGAATATCGGAGCAAACAAAATTTGAATGAATGTGGACTCCGAATGGTTGGGAAATTCTATATATGTGGATGAACACAGAGACTGGTGTGTTTGAAATGACACAATGAAACAAGGGGAACATGCAAGGCAAGAACGAAAAAGCCACGCTTCAAGCTTCATCACTGAAAACCCATGCCTCTGGGAGGATTCGAACCTTCGGCTTCCCCTAGTATACCCGCAAGTAAACAATAGGAATGATCTGCCCATTGATCTACCAAGGCTTATTCTCTACAGTTGGAAGCTGAGTAGGTGGTGTGATTTATCCGAGAGCTGCCTGTCTCTTTTGCAGCCTTGTGGCCGCTGATTACTTGAATGCAAGTACACAAAAAGTACAGTGAACATCAAATTCATTTTTGTTTTTCGGAGTATTCGGTCGACTGCACATAACGGCTGGAACCCCGAGCATGTATAGGGTGTGCCAGAAGGAAGAAGAAAAGAAAAGAAAAAAGAGATAACCGTCGTTGTTAATGCCTTGGGGAGGATTCGAACCTCCGTTCTCCCGTATACCGGTTAAAGAACGCGTATAAAGCTGGGATGATCTGCCAATTGATCCACCAAGGCTTTATTCTCTGTTTTTCGAGGCTGGGTGGGTGCAGTCAATTCTGTGCGAGCTGTAAACCTGAGCGACTCAACGATCAGAATTAATGAATGAAATTAGTGCCGGATCTTCCTAGTGCTGGTTAATCACGTCCTTCAAGAGACCTCACTAAGTTACTTATGAAATTTAACTTAGCCCTACAAAATTAAGTTTACTTTACTTTTGGCAGGCTAAGTACTTTTGTCAAGTAAAGTAAAGTAAAAGTACCAGTTAAGTAAAGCAACGTACAGCAAAGTAACAGTAAGTAAATCCAAGTAGAGCTATATTAGGGGTGTAACAACAAAGCCAGGTAAGTAATGAAGCATGCAAGTAATTTGTCATGGAAAGGACCCATCTCTGAAGCGTCTCTGCGACGCTGAACCATATCAAGTAGCTGAAAGTGAAATTACAAGTCGGATAAGGCAATGTACCGCAATGTAGCGTCAAGTACAGTTAAGTAAGGGGCCAACGGGAAGTTTTGGTCCGAAATCCAACATGCCGTGCTTGTAATTTCCCCCCTTCTTGCGGCTGGCTCTTTAACAAGGGCTCAAATTCTTGAGCCTATTGAACTATGGACGGGGGCCGCGTTCATGAACCAAAAGGGAACCGCGAGAACTTACTGTGTTTTCTGTACACTCTGCGTGTCGATTTTTCAACCCGCTGATCGAAGATTTCTGTGACAAATACCTGAGTTTTCGAACTCCAACTTAGTTAATGAGTTCTCCCTATGCATAGAACAGCATTCATACAATGTTATATGAGAGGTAATGCAAGAAGGATACATGGTGAAAAGAAAAAATTATTGTCCAATCCACAATGCCTTGGGGAGGATTCGAACCTCCGTCTTCCCACCCCAGACAGTGACTGGTCAACGCACCGAGTAGGGATGATCTTCCAATTGATCTAGTAAGGCTTATGCTCTGTATTTGGAGGTTGGATAGATGGTGTGATTTCTGTACATGCTCTTTTCGACTTTGTCGACCGCTGACCAAATATATTGTGGTGGAGGGAATAAATGCACTCAAGCTCCCGTGTTTGTGCAGTTCTACATATGTAGGAACGCACAGACTGGCGTGTTTTGCTATCATGAAGAGAAAAAAACTTAAGCAATGTCAAAAAGCCAGACGTCGACATCCCATGCCTCGGGGAGGATTCGAACCTCCGCCTTCCCGTATATTCGTCGCGAGGTGCACTAGGTTGGGATGATCTGCCTATTGATCTACCAAGGCTTATTGTCTGTATTTTGGGGTTGGGTAGGTGGGGTAATTTTTTGGGTGCGAGTCCAATGTCTTTTCAACCGTCTAAGCTACGATTGAATATCTGAGCAAGCAAAAATCGAATGAACGTGGACTTCAATCGATTTGCAAAATATGTAAATGAACACATGTACACAGACTGGCGTGGTTTCGAATGGAATAAAGGGGGGGTAAAATAACTAAGGCAAGAACAAAAAGGTACTCCACAATGTCGACCCTATGTCTTGGGGAGGATTCGAACCCCCATCTGCCGAACGGCACAAAGTATTGCGACACTGATCTGCCGATTGATCTACCAAGGCTTATTCTCTGTATTTTGAAGTTGGGTAAGTGGGGGTAATTTTTTGGGTGCGAGCCCAATGTCTTTTCAACCGTCTAACCTACGATTGAATATCTGAGCAAACAAAAATCGAATGAACCTGGACTTCAATTGGTTTGCAAATTCTAGGTGCAGTGATTTTTCTGTGAGTTATGGACCTGCCTCTCGGCAATTCGAGCATCCGAATTAAATGAGCAAGTTCTATACATATGATTGTGTGAACTTAGAACGGCCTGTTTTGAATTGATATAATGGTGAAAAAAAGGCAATAGAGCCAATTTATGCTTTGGGGAGGATTCGAACCTCCATCTTCCCACAAGGGGTGCTCAATTCCTATCTCGTGGGCCCGTCCCGTGGCATATTTGGTCGAAACAAATAAAGATTCAAACTCCGCCAGGAAACAAACCGTTTTGCACATCCTCTTGCTTCATTTCCTAGCCCAACTTTGACTCTAAACTCACCCTAACCTTTAGTAACTCATCTGGATCAATTTTACAAGGCCTGACAAATTTGAGGGGCCCGCAACTTCGGGGTTTTGCCACATTCATACATTTATATCTGGCAGTGAACATTGTATTGAAGGAAGATAAACACTTGGGGTACCATTCTTTACCTCATTGAACATATTGTGGGGCTCATTTGTCTCTGAAATGTGGGTAGGAACAGTGGGGTTGAGACCAAGACGAAGCGGAGTTTGAATCTTTATTTGTTTCGACCAAATATGCCACGGGACGGGCCCACGAGATAGGAATTGAGCACCCCTACAACACAGATGTTTATGATCAATTGAAACACTTATAAAACTGGGATGATCTACCACAGATCCACCAACGCTTATTGTATTCCTGGTACCGACTCAGGTACCAGGTCTCCAAACCAGAAATAAAACATGTCTATTGCAGCCGCGTTTACGCACTCGATCATGTCGGTCCGAACTCCGAGCTCCAAAACCTCTCACGCCTGTCAAACTTGATGACTTATCAACAGGTCCTTGAGTACTGTAATATTTCGATAAATTCGAACAAGGTCCCAACTTTTCGGAGGAAAAAAAAAACTGATAAATCGAGAAAAAATTATTGCGGCAATAAAAAAGGTGGCGCGTGACGCATGACGTTCGAATTGAATGAAATAGTACAGCACCATGGTACAATACATATGATGAACAGGTGCCTAAAGTTTGAACCTATCAACGGCTTCAATGCTCATCCATCGCAAAAACAACTCCTTCCCAGATGTATGGCAGTCCCTCGCTCCCAATGTCCTCGGTTGGTTCAACCAAGCCTTCCTTGATGGCGTCCGCCAGCTCCATCTCGTAAGCGTTGTCCCTAATAGGGGGTTCACATATCGGGGGGGACAGTCATTTCGTCGCTTCAGGTTGCTCCGAAATAGAAGCATGCACACTGGCAGCGGCCTATCAGAAAAACAGCAAAATAATTGTAACTACTTACATGACAGGGTTCTGAGGAGTGCGAAACAGATACAGCACTGAATATGTCCACGTTCTCTGCAAACATTGAGCATGAGACATATGTCCAGACTATTTGAGAGACCTACCCGCTCGGGCTTGTGCCCATACTTGGCTGGACGATGGAGTTGCCGATCCATTGGCGATAGATCCGGGAGCTTCGCTGAGCGTGGTCCTGAGTCTTTTATGTGCTCTCATTGCGACGCTGCTGGAGGAGCAGTGGGCACGTGAATTCCTCCATCGGGCCAACATGCAATCTACTCCCATAATCCGCACACGCGTATGCTCTTATCTTTACTATGGCCTCAAGTGCTTCAACATGCATGCCGTTGTGGAAATTGTTCCCCTCCTATTGCACATTTATCTGATCCTGTTCTTTGGTGGATTGGTTGCATTCTTACACCCCATCATCCCCGTCGTCACGGCCGTAGCGAGTGGGCTCTTGGGCCTCATCACGACAATCTACTTCGGCCTAACCGTCCTTCCTTTGTTCTACCTCGACTGTCCGTATCGGACTCCGCTTTCTGGTTCCCTGTGGCGTCTCATGATGACACACTCTACGCATCTCCCACGAACGGCCTCCATTGCATCTGAAACGATTCCAGAGGTTCGGAAGCCAGACCTCGATGCCGCTGTGGAAGCGATGACGAAAAGAGCTACACCACCCTCGGACAAGCGCCATGAACGCGACTGCGCAGCACTCATCTGGACCGTTAAATCCGTAACAGATGAGTCCGGGCTGGAAACATTTGTTGAAAGTATCCCTGATGCCGTTTGGAGCGTTACTAGGAGGCATCTTCTGGATGATCATATTCACGCACTCGTCTTTCACCCCGAGGTTCGATTGGGGGACCGCATCGGGTCCTTGCTACGTACCACCGACAGCGGATTTCTGTCTGCAGAAGCCGAGATACGCCGGGAAATTAGTTGTTGGAAGGCCCTCTGGGCTATTGCAAGCTTGACCTCGTCCGACGATTCTCACTCCCCTTTCAATGTGTCTGCTTTACTGGACGAACATCAATCACCTTCAATGGCCGTCCTTCATTACTCCATCTCTGCTCGCGCCCTCATCTAATGGAGAGCGGCTGTATCGATACAAAATCGGATCGTGACAATAGTTGAAGACGTCAAAAAGTTGAGTGCCGATATTCTCCGTGGTCTTGTTCCAAAAATTGAGTGTTTGGCCACGAGCTGACTCAGGTGCCAGGTCTCCACACCAGAAACAAAACATGTCTATTGCACCCGCGTTTACTCACTCGATCATGTCGTCCGATCCAAAATTAGAAACCCTAATCACCGAACGATGCATTATGTTAACGTTGAGGAGGAGGAATGGATACTAGTTGGAAGTTCAGAAGCCTAGGTAAGTTATAGGGAATGTCCGGAGGGCCATCGTGAAGAAACGGGTGGCTGTGAATACCTTGGAAAGAACAATAAAGGTATTCATTCAACTTGCTCATGAAGGAGTCCGGCTACTGGGGAATGCCCGGAGGGCCATCTTACAGCAATGGCTGGCATAGTACAAATTAATTGTTAAATAGTTACAGCCAGCTGGTAAGTGTGTCTAGGTCGTACTGGGAGGTGCCAGGGGATGCCCGGAGGGCCTTATGAATTCAATTGGAGGTTGGATAAGTGGGGTGATCTGAGCTGTGGACCTGCTTCTGCCTCAGCGACCCAACCATCAGAAATAATGAATTAAATTACCGCGGACTCGCCTTTGCTTTCCAAGTTCACTTGCTTCAATGGATAGAACCGGACGAAGTTGACGTAAATTCGATCCAGAAAAACCATAAAGTGAGGGAAAAAGTCAGTGCTTTCTATACAGTGCCTCGGGAGGGACTCAAACCCCGCCTTCCCCTTGTCTACGCAGTAGTCTACCTGACGTAACAGTGACGATCGACCATGATCCACCGAGGCTTTCCTGCAATATCTATGCCCCAGATA